GACAAAGAGTGGGAAACCAGATTGTCTTCAAGTTGAGGGTAGCAAGAACAATCTTACTTGTTGACCACCTCCCACAACAATGTCTTGTACACTTTCTTTCACACTAGTCCCAGGAGCCTTGACTTCGGTTTCTGTTTTTTCTATCAAAGTGGGCTTTTCCTCATCTATGTTTAACAATGTTTCGGTTTTTCGCGTAGTGATCTCTTCTCCATACACAGGTGGTACTCTCAAGAAATGACGATAAGGCTTTGCAGAGAATACAAAGATGTGAGCTATTGCAGCAATTGCCATCTGCTGGGAAACAAGGACAAAGAAATTCCATTAATTATCTAAAACTCTATGAATATAAGACATGGCCAATATGTTATCTGGTTCTGTTAAGGATTTTTTTCTCAGTAATTATCCAATCCAAACCAAATATGATGAAAAAAGAACTCAAAAAAATCAGCGCAAAAGAGAAGATGGAAATATGATGGAATAAAGCAAAATGACTCACTAAACTATCTTCGCTTCTTTGTTATGAAGCAACAGTTAGTCCATGCAATTTTCGACGTGATTTTCACTATGGATCATCCGAAAACTGTCTCTCTCTTTTTTAGTAAAGGGGGTAAGACTGTGTACATCTGACCCCCTTACCCCCACTGGGGTAATGATGATGATGAAAAGAGAAGATGGAAATACCTCTATGCAAATTAGGAAGTCTTGCAAGCCAGTCTGAAACTTGCCTTCCTTGGACAGGACACCCCAATAGCATGCCAAGGCAATACCCACTCCTTGCCACCACGTAGCAAAAACAATTGCCTTAAAGCTAATAAACTTTGCAAGGGGTTTAATTGCTTTAAGTCTGAGATGAGTGACATTATAAAATTGGACCAGGCAATACAAAGCCCACATCTGGCTGAAGTTCAGAACAACTGCAATATACGGGTACCTGAAAGTAAAACGAATAAAAAGCATTTATCACTTCTAATTGTCCAACTATGGCATCAATGACATTTTCCATATGTATCTTTGAATTCTTCACTCTTAGCTCTCTCACTATATTGTCACAAAAGCAGTTTTAATACTCATGTTTGATTTTTTGGTTTTAGAACTCCGATGATTGTGAAAGTAACACTTTTGAATCTTTGATCCTTCAACTATTTCCATAGTATGAGCAACACTTTTGATCTTTCGCGCATTGTAGCAAAATTCATTGTTGAAAGATTAAAAGTAAAAATTTCACAGTAGATGGGAAGATTAAAAGTGGAAAATTCAGGATAGCACTGTCACAATAGTCAAGAGACTAAAAATAAAAATATGAAACTTTCATTAACACCGTTACCAAGGAATAAAAAAAGAAAAAACTAATTAACGCATTAAATATAATAACTAACACTATTTCTTGCATTCCAAAACTATTTTAAATATAAAATAAGCACATATGGTGTGTGCATACCCATAGTACCACTTGAACTCGCCATCCCCATACACACCTAACAGCTCCAGAACCAATGCTAAAAATGCACAAAAAGTCTTCAAAATCATCTGAACCGAAATAAAGAAAGAAAAGTAAGAGTTTCCCAATGTGGTATATTAAATCCAGCAAAGAGAAGACATAGATCATTCGTATTTTGTTTCTTACATACTGCACTAGACCAAATTTCTCTATTGTAAGAAGACGCTCTCCAAGGAGAAACGGACTGCGGAAGAAGTTGTAGAACGTTCTTTGTTTTGTCTTATGTTGTTTCTCTTCCCCACCAAGTAATGGCTGCTGGCTGATCTCTTTTCTTGATTCGTCCTCGAGTAGTTCCACGACTTTCCTTTCACCCCCTACCATAAGAGGATCAATGTATTTACTAATGATGTGCCTATGAAGTAACTGAAAGATGAATCATTCAAGAACTATTCTTAATATGAAAACAAATGATGATAAGCAAGAATGGACTCACCAAGGCAAGCAACCAAGTAACTGCCGAAAGAATAGAGCGCAAAAGCTTCATATACATTTCTTAGAATGTCACAGGCAAGAGAGAGTTCTGGTTTACACAGAGACAAAATCTGGGGGGGGGGGATAATATAAGAATGGAACTTTATAGAATATATAAGATTGCAATATACTCCGTATCATGTAATCCACATGCATTTGATGCATGGCATCTTGGTTAGACATCAGTCATTCAAGTTTTCCAAAAAGGTCAGGGGTTCTAATCCTAGTTGAAATAAGCATTTATGTGCTCTAAACATCGACCAAGATCATAGCTTATGTGTTATTACATAATACTAGTAAGTTTTTGTGGGAAAAAACATATGCACTCTGAAATTGAAGATCATATACCTTCCATTTCTACCCAAAATAACAATGGGCATTAATCGTTCTTTAATTCCATTGTTTCTTCCCTCCAAACACATTAAAAAAAACAGAATTTCACTCGGAGAGGCAAAACCACTAAAGAAAAGTAAATTAAGAATCAGAAATGGAAAAGATATGAACTTGAAATGGCCGGGAATGCACTTACTGACTCAGTAGCATAGACTGGAACCATGGAGATCACCGCAACAATCCATTTTTGCTCCTGAAAATTAAGAAAGAAAATAAGCATATATAGATAATTGTGATATACAGTATAATAATAAGTCGTAATTTTAAATACTGTTATTACTTCTAATTAACTAACCGCGGGATTAGTGTAAGATCTGAGATGCTGGAAAATCAAGAAAGTGGAGAGGAGCAAAGCAAGCAAAACAGAGGAGGAAGCGATAATCAGGGCCGGGTCGTGGAGATGTCTGTAGCTACTCCTCGTATTGTTATTATTATTACTAGACACAGAGGTTTCGATTGACGCCGCCGCCGCCGCCCATGGCGGCGTTCTGATGCGATATGTGTGAATCAATTCCATGAATTCCTCGTATCGATTGATTGTACGGGTTTAAGGTACTGCTCGTCATCAACCAATACTCCCTCCGTACAATAACATGCAGTTCGATGCCGTCTGGCGACACGTGCCTCCATTGTACCCTGTTGACGAGCGTTATCCATTTGAATGTAATTGTCTAATTTGTATATATTCCATAACCGTTTAAGTATGATCTGGTTCATTCTTAAGTGCATCTTAAGAGGTTAGTAATGATTTTGAGCCTAATATAAAAGGTTTTATGAGTTTTTTTACAGCTTAATGTTAATTAAAAAAATATTTACGAAATTTGGGTCAAGTTAAAATTATTTACCAAAATAGCGCTGGATCTGACTTTGTGAGACCAAAGTTGCCGAATGAAGAGGCTACTTTGAAGCAGCGAACCGGTTGGGCGACTCTCTTGCGAAATATTAGGACGCAGCTATAGCATCAATGGAAGGAGGAAACACGTATGGGGCCCATGATACAAAAATCCCTTTATTTTAAAGGTCCATATTGTTCGGGGTCTTATAATTTTTTATTATCTTTCATTTGACACCAATATTGGATATATAAAAAAAATTGAAGGGTTATTAAACATCCTTCTTATTTTCCGATCTCCATACGGATTATTTCAAGACATAATTACACATTTATGACTCAAATAAATATTATTTACAAACTTGTGACTAGTAACTAGAGTAGTAATGGAATACTAGTATTTAGTAATTTATATTCAACTTTTAAATTTAAGTTAACATGACACTATATTGCACTAACTACTCCGTATTACTTATATTTGGGTAAATAAATTTTATTTTATTACTCCCTACGTCCCCCTGTTATTGTCCAATTTCCTATTCACTTGATCAACACAATTCACTCTTAATCTTTTACTTTATTTATCGAATTTTTATCAAATTTGATTTTGGTTTTGCGACTTTGTAAAACTTTTAATATAGTTTCTGAATATGCGATTTTTTTCTAAAAATAATTCTAGTGCGAACAAAGATTTGTTTGCTTTATCGTCAGTCAAGCATCGTAAACTACAATGGGACAATAACAAGGGGTGGAGGTAGTAATATATTTGAAAAACCGTAACTAATTATATTTAGTGTCCAACGTCGAGGATCGTAAATAAAATTAGTTACGGTTTTTCAAATATATTAATAAAATAAAATTTATTTACCCAAGTAAAACTAATCGAAGTAGTTAATACTCCCTCCGTTTCTAATTAGATGACCCGTTTGCTTTTCACAGAGTTTAAGATAATTACTGTATACTTTATAAAAAATAAGAGATTTTTGGTACTGTAGCGGTACTGTAGCGGTAGTGTAGTGGTACTGTAACTGCTTTTTGAGTGGGATTCTTTCCAAAAAAGGAAAGGAGACAATTAATTTGATACACCAAAAAAGGAAAGTGTGACAAGTAAATAGATACGGAAGGAGTACAATATAGTGTCATGCTAACTTAAATTTAAAAATTGATTATAAATTACTATAATTCCATTACTAGTCACAAATTTGTAAACAATATTTATTTTAGTCATGTATGTGTAATTATTTCTTGAAATAATCCGTATGGAGATAAAATAAGAAGGATGTTAATACGCCTTCAATTTTTTTTAAAGTTTATATATCCAATATTGGTGTCAAATGAAAGATAATAAAAAATTATAAGTTTTGGTATATTTTTTTTATAAAAAGTGGAGCAAAAAAAGAAAAAGTCATGGTCCTTTAAAGAAAAAAAGGGATTTTGTTATCATGGGTCCATGCTTTCTTCCTGCTTTCTATTGATGCTGTAGCTGCGTGCTATAACAAGAGAGTCCCCCAACGAGTTGCCTACTTCAAAGTAGACTTTGGTCCACGAGGTTAGTTCCATCATTATTTTGGTAAATAGTTTTAACCTGACCCTAATTTCGTAAATATTATTTTAATTAACATTAATCTGAAAAAAAACTCAGGTTTTACTCTATTCTGAGAAGACCAATGAGAAATGTAGAAATAGTGTTGTCAATTTTTCCTGTTTTATCAATCATGATTTAAGACCCTATAATTATGAGCAAAAATTCAATATGGTATACAGTATACTCCGTTCTATTTTTTATACAACACCAACAACATCTAGGCCAGCAACAACATATAATCCTTTGGACTGATACATGATATCGGAGTTCAAAAGAATCCGTACTATTTTTGAATATGTTTAGAAACTTAAAATATTTTAATCCTACCATAAAGAATAAGCAACACTTACTGCAATTAAAAGTGTGTCCAACAACCCCATTTTCTGATTCTTACAATTTACAACACTTCACGTCATTCTTACCTATGAGTCGGCAGTGTTGTACACTCATTATTATGAGGGGGCTATATATTTAGTACAATCAACTTGCAAAAAGCAAACCATAAACAAAAAACATTTCAAATTGTGATACAGGGACAACAAAACAGCTAGGATGTCTCGGGAAAGGTAAGAAAGGTTATTAAGGACTCGTAATCCGGAAATCGTGAAACAAGGTGAGACCGTTTTGCAAGCTCGAAGTCCTCAAACTGGAAAGCGGGAGCACACGTACATCCAACCAGAGAGAAGTGATTCTCAGGATTTCTAGGAGGAGTTGTTTTTACAGCAGTTTTCATGTCCGGGGAAATGTCTATATCCTTCGTTGGAAAAGCACCAAACCACACATTTGGAGGCACAGTGTACTGCACATGTTCATCTTCTCCGAGTAGGTTAGGCCCGAGGCACGTTAACTTCACACTACCATCACTTTCATTTAGTTCCATAACCTTCACACAAAAAAGGTATTAAAAGATTGTCACATAAGTGTAAATGTCTAGTTTCAAATTTAGAACAATTGTAAGAGCAGACATTGGTTAAGGGCACAGTAAAATCTTCTTAGGCCATCTCCAACCGTTAACACAATTTTTTACACTAAAATGGTGTAAACATCACATCAAACAGTATTTTATCTCCAACAGTTTACACCATTTTCATCACCAAAAAGGAATATTCTCTTTTTATTCTTTTTACTAATTTTTTACCATTCTTCTATTTAAGTATCTAACTATCTTATATTTATACATTAGCCCCTCATTTAATATTTTGACATTTCTCACATTATTTCACACAAACAAACTAAAATACATCATTTTAATATGTATTTTCACAAAAAAAATCTCAAGAAGGAGAATCATCAGTTGGATTTGGGAATCTATTTGATGGACTTGGAGGCTCTGGATGCGGGTTGAATGATTACTAAATTCTAAATTAGTATGTACTATGTATGTTTTTTATTATGTTTTAATTTTTATTATAATGGTGTTATTAATTGTAATTTTAATTATGTTATTTTCTTATGTACCATTTGTTTTCTGTTATTATGTTGTTTGGATTTGAATCTTTATTTATAATATTGTGTGATTTAAATGTTATTATATTATTTTTATCAAATTAATTGTTTTGATTGTTGTTGTACAAGGATGTTTTTACTTGGACTGTAATTTATTTCAGATCAGATCAAACCGGATTAGACCAAACATGGGTGGTTATAAAAATACAAAGAAATCAGACCAGGCCACATCAATTCAGATCAGACCAGACCAAATTAGACCGGACCAACAAATTTCAGTCCAAGTAAAACTTCCTATTTTGTTGTTTTAAACATGGGTCAAAACTATAATAACCAAAACTTTGGGTCACATTTGAAAGAAAAAAAAATTACAAAAAGTTGATGGTGAAACAAATGGGGCACGCCATATATGGCGGAAACTATTCCTCCCTCCCCTATCTTGGTGTAATGGTGTCAAGTTTGGTGCTATTGTTGGAGCATTTTTTTGCCAAATACACCATTTTGGTGTCAAGTTTGGTGCTTGTTGGAGAAGCCCTTAACCAAGTACTACTTGAGTAAATTGAGAAAATTTTACCAAAATCGTTCCCCGACTCCATCCAGGTATATAATATTGTCCTTAAATATATGGAGTCTACACACAATTGCATGCAGTTATCAGCACATATCAAACAAATATATTTTGTAAAAGATCTTAAGCTACTATATTCTATATATAAAAGGTCAATTTGATAGAATGAATATGTCAATACCTAGATGTTGCTAATATGTATAAATTATAAAAGGTCAATTTTGTAAGAGGAATAAGTCAATGACTACTATGTTGCAACTTTTTAAGAATACACTAGTCCACCTTAGCTATCCTCAGTAGTTATCCACATTTTATATTAATCATTGCAAGGACATGTAAGCTATCCACATTGAACAAATATAACAAAACAAACTCACATATAAAATGACTACTAGGAATATTGATCTGACATTTTAGGATGGAATATATCAGTCTTGATAGTAGCACATCAGATACCAATGGAGCATAGTAACAGCTTCATCAGTTAAACGCAAAGGTGTGGGGGGAATACCGTCAAAGGCTCTCCCGAGTAAAAATGCCATGTTTCTGCACACGGTATGCGGTGCAAGTGAGAGACACTTGCAGAAGGCAACAAGAAGTAAATAGATGTACTGACAGGTCTATCAACTTTGTCTGCAAAACAATTGCAGAGTAAAACTATACTTCACCTGGCAAGATAGTATACACACAGGGTGCTTGTTTTAGTCTTTTCTGAAACTTATTCTGCTTAATGCAGGCATTGGATTGCAATTTCAAAGTACAAATGGAATTTCCACAGAAAAAGAAGAGCTCAAACTATTCAAAAACTAAATATTTTGGTGAGCAAACCAATTCTACTGTCTATACATAGAACTCCGCAAGTTTGATCATATTAAGACTTTTTCTAGCTGAATGTAATATTTGTGGAAAAAAATTTGAAAGAACTACACGAAAAGCTGCTGCCAGGATAAAAAAAAATCTACATAAAACTCCTTAAGGTTTAATATGAGGAAAATTATTTGCGACTGAAGAGTGAGGATGAGGACATGATCTTCCAGTTGAAAGTATTAAAATTGCATACCTTATGATCCAAAATTTCGTCCGATATTTTGATAAAATACAAGAAATTCTCATACTTGGGTATTGGCTAAGATGGTGAATAAATATAAATCGAAAGGATAGCTTTCAACTTCTGATGGGAAGAAAAGTCGCGATCAATTGGGAAGAGGAGTGAAACCGATGATAGATGAAATGAAAGGGGGAAGAAGACTTACAAGTAGGAGGAAGATGAGATTTAGAGAGGAAGACGGAAGGGTCCCTGAATGTTTCTGCATAGAAGCCGCCTTCTGGGTGCGGCCTCAGATCCAGTTTGGCTACCATCTTGGAGGCTGTAATGGCCGCCAATGAAGATGAGCCCATTTTGATTCTTTACAACGATGGATGTGCCTTCGAAGGCTCAAAGCTGGTGTTTGACCACCGGGGTCTGCACAATTGGGGCTTTGATACTTTGATTGGATCACAAAAGGAAAACGCAAAATTTAAAATAAAAATACTAGGGGATTTACTATTTTTTGAACGGAAACTTGTCCTCTATTCATATATCATAATCTTCACGATCATTACATTAATCAAAACAAAAATAAATCTAACATCAACTAAACTTCAACAACTACGACTGTAAACCCCATAAAAGAACGACACGAATCGCTAACCATGCAGCGGGTTTGACATAGACAACTCTATTCTCATAGATCCAAACATACCCAATGACATAAAAGGAGGCTAAATTCTCAAACAAAATGACAAACCTAACAACATAGATGATAACAAGAAATCAAATTATAAAATAATAAAAACTAATAGGAGGAGGACAAAACAAGAAAAAAACTAAATAAGCAAAACAAGTATCTTGAACCCTAGCACCTCATTCATCCCATGGCGGTGGTTCTGGAGGAGGTTGGATCATCGCTATGATTGTTGACACAAACAAGACACAACTCCCGCCCGTCACTTGATTGATTCCCTGGCGCGCAACCTCGTTCTGCCCTGTAATTTCAGTCCCTCTAGACGCCTCCCTTTCTCCCTCCCTTGGCTCCCACAACTTCTTCTCCATCGACCGCCACAACACGCCTAGCGATATTCCTGCGAACAATTCCTTCTCTGCTAACCTAATCGTCGCTCCAAAGTACGACTAAATCTAAACGCCGCACACAAGACGGCAAACACTGGAACCCTTATTCAAGGGAGACGATCGCATGTGATTAGGTTTTATCGGGGATTTACTATTAATAATCTCAATTACATATTACGTATGATTTTTGTGTAGTCTTAACTACAAAGATCATTTTCCAAAAATAGCTCCTAATCGATTATAATCTAGTATAGCAGGTCAATTTTAAATACAAACTATGCATAATCTATAAGTAATCTCAACTATAGTTAATTTTTTTTTATTAATCTAATTATCAACTCTCAATTTTGGGAAGATATAGAAATAATTTTATAAATTTCCAAACTAAATATTTTTAAAAATGTAAAAATAATTACAGAAATTCTACAAAGATACCAAAGTTAAATAAAATCTTGTCGGTCATTTTCTGATTTATTTTTTCTTAAATTTCATTATTATTTAATTTGTTTTTTAGTTGTGTTGCCAATTTACGATTTTGTATTATTTTCCGTTATTCAAATATCCATTTTCTATTTTCAAAAAGTAAATTGTGATTGAAATTTTTATGAGTTAGAGCTTTATTCTAGTTTTTGTTAATGAAAATATATTTAATTTAATTTCTTATGCTATCTTAATTCTAAAATCTAAATTTTCTATTTTTTCAATTTAGTATTTTTAATTTATTTATATTTTTTATTTTATATTATTATATTCTATAAATTATGTGATATAGTTTATCTTTTAATTTTATTGATTTGGGGTATAAGTATTGGGGTTCTTTGACTATTTTTAATGAAAATGTATTAATTTTATAAATTTTTCTGATATAATGGAAATTGTAGAAATTGCATAATTGTACGATAGTAAGTGAAAAGGTTTTAATTTTTTTATAATTTCCGTTATATCACTTAAAATTATACAATAATACTAATACTAAAAAAAGCCAAAAACCTCAAATACTTATACACCAAATCATTAAAATTAATCGATAAACTATATCATATAATTAATAGAATATAATAATATAAAATAAAAAAGTACAAAGAAGTTACAAATACTAAAATGGAAAAAGTGGAAAATTTGGCTTTTTAGAATTACGATATATAGCATAAGAAATTAAATAAAACATATTTTCATGAAAAAAGTTAGAATAAAGATCTAAATCATAAATATTTCAACTATAATTTACTATTTGAAAAAAGAAAATGTAAGTTTGAATAAAAGAAAATAATAGAAAATCATAAATTTGCAACTTAACTGAGAAAAAAATTTAGAAAAAACAAAAAAGAGTAAATTTTAGTGGAAATAAATCATAAAATGCCTAAAAATATTTTAGTTAACTTTGGTACATTTGTAGAATTTGAGTGATTATATTTACATGTTTAATAATATTGAGAGTTGATAATTGGGATTAATAAAAAAGATCGATTATAGCTTACGATAGTTTGTATTTAAAATTGATCTACTATACCATATTATAACCAGTTAGATACTATTTTTGGAAAATTGTCCCTATAGTTGAGACTACTCAGAAATAATTGATAGTTGAGATTATTAAATGTGAACCCGCAATAGTTGGGATTATTATTTTTAATTTTTCCAAAAGAAAATATTATTTGTTTCCATTGTTTGTAACAACTTGTACACATGTGTGAAATTTTTATATTTGTATATCTGATTTTATTAAATTTGAATTGTTGCTTTACGATTTTATAAAACTGTTAATTTTGTTCTAAAATCATTGATTCACGTCCAAAAGGTTGAATCCCCAACCCCAAGGCCCCCCCCCACCCCGACCCGACAGGATGGTGGGGGAGTAAATCACGGTGACTCAGTCGGCAAAGCGGCAGTAAGCCTTTACCCGTGCGGACCAGAGGGCCAGCTTTATTTCCGGTTCTGAAAACCCCATTTTGGCCGCTGCGAAATTCGAACCTTGGTCCACCTCCAATTTTTCCCACCGCTCGACCAACTGAGCTATCCGTGCGGGTAAAAAAAAATCATTGATTCACTTATATGGAGGATGGTAGTTTCTATTGGGAACCTGAGCTTGATGAGATATTCACTTTAAAATCTGGTTACGAGGAAGTTAGGGATGAATTACCCTCTCAGTTTACTTTTCAGCACTTCTGGCATGGAACCCCAAACTTCCTCTTCAAGTGAGACTATTCCAATGAAACTTAATTAAAGGTATCCTGACCATTACTAATAAACTAAGCAGGTTTAAAGCTGTGTTAAATCCATCAGTGTGCCCTATTTGCAGACAACACTCAGATGACCTTAATCACATATTCTTGACTTGTGATAAGATTAAACCAGTGTGGAACTACTTTATGGGAATCTTTTGTATTCCATATCTTCATAAATCAAATTCTATTAGACAGGTTCTCATATATTGGTGGTTGAAAGATGGTTCTAAGAAGCTTGATGATGTTTTTAAACATTGCTTACCTGGAATTATTACCTGGTTTATTTGGAAGGCTTATGCAAAGATGATTTGGGGTAACAATAATCAATTTCCTACTCATACATCGCATCAAAGCTTACACACAAGTTTGGGTGTTCAGTTTTCCTACTACCAAGCTTCGATCTGTGGGGAGTTTTATATGAAGATAAGTTCATACCTAGGTCTTTTAAACTGAATCGGCCTATGATTTTTTCTGTGAAATGGATGAAGCCTAGCAAACAATACAAGCTGAATAACGATGCTAGTTTCTCACCTCAAGCTGCAGCAGGAGGAGCGGTCTTGAGAGATATGGAAGGTCGGTTGATTTTGGTTGCAGCTTTTCCGCTTAAAGCTTCATCTCCTCTTGAAGCTGAACTGCTTTTGATGATCTTGGCTACGGAATGGGTGATTGCCGAAGGATTCTCCAACTTCCAGGTTGAGATTGATTCTTCCGCGGTGCTAGATTACATGAAGAGCGACAGATCAGGTAGATGGCGTTGCAAAATAGATAATTTGTTGGCTTTGTCCGAACGTAACCCAACGGCATTTCCTATTCTAATGTGTGGAGGCAGGCTAATTGGGTTGCTCATTTCCTTTCTCATCAGGACTTGTTCCATTGGACTAAATATACAAGGGTCAATGATCTTCCGGCCCGGGCTCGAAAGTCATACTACATGGATTTATTTGGGCTTCCTTCCCTTCGTATTGATTTTTAGTTTTTGGGCTTCCAATTTTGTATCTTTTTGTTTTGAGAAGCTTTGGTCTGGTCCTCTTCTCTTTTGTACTCTTCATCATATTAACAAAATCTCGGTAAATGACTTCCGGCATTTACCCCACTGATTTTGGTGGTTGACCATCCGGGTTAAAAAAAGAATTTAATAGGGATAAAATTTTAATTTATATATCTTAAATTATATAATTTTAATTTACTATAAATAATCTTATTGTTAATAGGGATAAATTAACTTTATGATCAGTCAAACACGCTACCGTACATCATACCATAGGGAGAAAATTTAAGTGTAATGAAAGGAGTAATATTAGTTGTACAAAATGTCTGGATTTGTATATTTTTATTTGTCCCACAAAATCTCTATAGTCATACATTTTGGACGTGTTGGGCATTTAGCGGTTTGCGGTTAGCGGATAGCGGATTATGTCAACGTGTTGTCAATAACGGATTCGGTCAGCATGTTTGACTAGCGGAATAAGTCGGTGGGTTTCAGAAGATGTTTGGTAATTTAGCTGTTTGGTCATAAAATTAGTAGAAAACACGATATTTCAAAACGCAAATTTATAAATTTCCTATTTGCAGCGTTTTCATTTTAGTGTTTCGGTCCAAAAATGCTAGTGCCGAACAACTATTTACCAAACAACTTTTTCACTTATTGAAAACGCTAAAACTGGTCAATCCGTCATTTAATTTTTTGGCTGAAATGTCATTTACCAAACACTCCCTTTATCTTCACCCAACATAACATTATTGTTCGACAAAATGAAAAGCAACTAATGACATAACGAGGGTACGATGTTCGGGAAATGACTTTTCAGCAAAATAAACAACGGTTTGACCCCTTTTAGCGGTTTAAATAAGTGAAAACGTTGTTTGGTAAATAGTTGTTCGATCCTAACATTTTTGGACGGAATCGCTGAAATGAAAACACTGCAATTGCAAATATAAGAGTTTTAGGTTAGCGTTTTGAAATATGACATTTTCTACTAATTTTAAGCCCAAACAACTAAATTGTAAAACATCTTGTTGTGACAATCCGTTAACTTATTGCGCTAGTTAAACCCGCTGACTGAATCCACTATAGATAACATGTTAACATAATCTCGTTAACCGCTAACTGCTAAATGCAAAATATGCTCAAGATGTTCACAAATATGCTTTCTAAATTTTCATGATTTAC